CATAAAAACAGCATTTTAATAACAGCTAAAGGTGACATATATACTTTATAATGGTATAGTATTTAAATATATGACTGAGAAACACATAATATTGGCACTTTAAAAAAAACAAACACTAAAAATTAGACACATCGTATTACAAAATTAACATGATGCCATTTTAAATGATGGAGAATTAATCTGTGATAATATTCTGGCTAGAATAATAGTTTTCTATTAAGTTGAACTGTCTTAATTCTCGCCCAATTAAAAAAAAATTTGTAGAATAACATTAATTAAACCATGACTACGGCCATACCACCACGAAGCTAAGCAGGGCTAGGCCTGGTTAGTACTTGGATGGGAGACCACTTGGGAATGGCAGGTGATGTAAAACCATTGTAGGAGGTGCACCCACATTGGGAGAAAACCTTTGACCATAATAGGTCGCCTTCTATGAAGGATGACAAAAAAACATAAGGTTTTAATAATGAGTCGCCGCTAAAGCTCAATTTTTAAATTTTGTTTTATTTACTTTGAAGCTCACTGCCTGTCATCCTGGTGTTAAAAAAGCATGTGTGAATCAGCAGAGTTAATGACCGACAGCTTTATGGGCATAAAGATCACGTTACTTCTTGCTAACTTGTTAAAAGGTGGATAATGATGAAGTGCAGGTGAASTGATGTGTTTGTGATTTGACAGAAGCATCAGGTGATGCTGCTCATATCCTGTTTTGTTGTTCAGCTGACTGGGTGACGTTAGCAAAAGCCTGGATTTGCATGTGGAGCAGGTACTGGAAAAGCCGTCACTCAGGACACACGTGGGGACACATTTCCATGCCGGCAGTGAAAACACTAATTTACAGCCGTCCACATGTGACCTGGATCATCCGGGCCATGTTAGCACCGGTTTGTTCTTGTCTMCATTAAGTCAAATTAAATAAAACACATCTCTTGATCCACAGCATACATGTCTATAATATTTAAATGTTTGCCTCAGTTATATTTACATGTTTTTTTTTATTTAGTCTTAATTTATTCTTGTCAAAATCCAGACTAAGTGGAAGTGTTTTAAAACAGATTTTATTTTCAGGAACTGAATTTTAGTCTGTAGAGTCACTAAAACCTTGTAAATTTACCAGCTTTAAATTGTTTATTTCCTCTTTGCTCCTGTTTTTCTTTATTCACTGTCCCTAAATTTGTTCTCAAAAGAAGATTTAGTTTGATCCCAACAGTTTGTAGTTTTAAAACACCAACTAAAGAACAATGTGATCATGCATTCAAAAAAACGCCCCATTAAGCGTACAATGTGTCTGAAACAGAGTCACGCTGCAGTGAGATGTAGCAGCACATGTACTTACAGTACAATGGGAGATATTGTGAGGAATTTGCGTGACGAAGTGAACTGGACACCGTAGTCCATCTGTTCCCAGTGTGTGAGCAGGCGAGCTTTGCCCTGGTCTGGAGTCTCGAAGGGAGTGCCCTTCACTGTGTGTAGAAACACGTACATCGCCTGCAGAGGAGACGACACAGAAAACATCCACAACCAGCGTCAGATACAACTAATAAAATGTTCAATTAAAAKTTCAGTTTGTTCAGATTGCCTGAGGGGGTGTGGGTGCACATTAACTGATACGGTGAGCTATTTTTGTCGACTTTTCTGTTGACCGTCATTTACTGAATGAATGTTGTTTTTTGACACTCTACATCTTTTGAATGCAATTTATTTAAGGCCCTGTCACACTATAATGTTTTAGACAACTTATGCAGACTTATGAAAATGTTATGACTATTTTACTCCAGTGGTTCCCAACTTTTTTAAACTTGTGTACCCACTGAGTCCTTTTGTCATACCACTAATACCCCTTCAGTCAAACGTAATGATTCTCCAAAACTATAATGTACAACAGCTGATTTTTGAATTAAAAATATTTATTTAAACCCCTACAACATTTAATTCTCAGGCATTATATTATTTTTAACTCAAGTTAAACATAAAGGTACATATGTTGTCCTGAAAGTGAATAAGTAATTAAACAAGGTAATGGCAGGTGCAGGAAGCAGCAACGTCCAAAATACATCAAATACACCAAATGAGTAAATTCTGTGAGATTCCACGTTTTATACTGGATTCCATTTTGTGTCARTTTCATGATTCCGTTTACATTTTCCACATTGTGGAAATCATACGGCCCTGCATATCTCAGTCCTCTTTTTATTTGTTTTGTTTTTTACACACCTGGGAAATTTTTCCACATATCCCCTGTAATATGCTCATGTATCCCAAGGGGCACATGTACCCCTGGTTGGGAATCACTGCTCTACTCATATTGGCTATATGTATATTGGGTGATTAGGGGAGATTTTCCTCTAATGTGAGAGTTGGAGGTACAATTCCACCACTATTCAGTCACCTGAAGTGTCCCTGGGAAAGACAATGAACCCCCACTGCCTGTGATGTGTCCCATCAGYGAGTGTGATTTAAAGAACYGATTAATCTCTATACAATGATTTACCTGTTTTAGCTTTATAGAGACACCTAATAGAGTGCTGTGTGAATGGATAAATGAGTGCACAGATTGTAATGTAAAGTGCTTAAGTTGGATAAAAAGGTGCTATAAGCACAGCCCATTTATACATTCAAACTAACTGTTAGCATTACATTTTGTATAGGTCCAAAAGAAGCTTCCAGTAGATTTTTTTAAATTCCATTTTCAGCTTAGAAAAACCTTTCATAMGTTGACTAAAACATTTTAGTGTGACAGGACATTTACTATCAATTTTTTAGTCAATACAATTAGCTGTTTGGATGGCAAACATTCAGTTTGTTAGTTTTAAAATAACTACGCAAAACACAAGTACGACCTCAGGATGGCTTGTTGGAGACACGTTATAAAACAAAACCAACTCAGCTGGCAGCAGCTTTATTTGCAAAATGAAGTCGCTACAAGTGGTTCCCAAACTTTTTAGCTTCAGACTCACAAAGAAAAATAATCACAGAAGCTCAAAACCCCAAATATGACCACTTAATAATAACCTTCATAAAAAATGCATAGTAACAAAAAAAAAAGTCTGTAACAATTATTATCCAGCTTTTTGTACTTAATGAATATTGTGTAATTTATTTTAGAATTATTTCAGAATATATATGTATCGGGCATCTGGTTAGGATGCCTCCTGGAGACCCTCCCTTAAAAGGGCCCATGACATCAAATTTTTGTAATAAACATGAATGCAGTTTTGGAAAGATAACATTGATAACTTATAGTAAAACAAATTTCATGCTACTGAGATGAATGGTTGTTGAAATATTTGCAGTGGAAGAAACAGGAAGTGATGTCAAAGGGGAATGTCTGAATGTGACCATTGCGTTGTTACAACAAAGACTGTGGAGAAGAATCTGATGTTTCTTTAGATTATTTTGAGTCGCTTTCAAAGAGAGACAAAGAAAAGTTAAAGTTTAAATAATTTTGTTTTAATAAACAAAAACCAGAGTTTATTTTATTAGAGAG